CTCCCGGCGCCGGTCCTCTGCTGTGGTGGCCGCCCATGGTGCGCCTCCGCGGGGGGCGGCCTCCTCCTCCTCCTCCTCCTCCTCCTCCTCCTCCTCCTCCTCCTCCCCTTCCTTCTCCTCCTCCCCTTCCTTCTCCTCCTCCTCCTCCTCCTCCTCCTCCTCCCCTTCCTCCTCCTCCTCCTCCTCCTCCTCCTCCTCCTCCTCCTCCTCCACTTCGCCTCCTCCTCCTCCTCCTCCTCCCCCTCCTCCTCCCCCTCTTCCTCCTCCTCCGCCTCCGCCGATGTACGGTCAAAGCTGATATCGGCGGCGAGCGAGGGAGGGAGGCGAGGAGGAGGAGGCCGTTGTCAGGAGGCAGCTGGGCTTCTCAGAAGCGCTCGCGCCTGCTGAAAGGTTTTCTGTGTCTTCGGGGAAAGCTTGGAACACTTCTCAGAAGGTCGGGGGGCTTCCGAGCCTTCTGAGAAGGCCCGCCTCTTCTCACTTCCCCCCGGGCGCTCGCCGCCGATGACAGTGAGGATGCGCAGTAGATTTAGGTCGGGCGTGTCCCTACAGGCGGATTCTGGGGGGAAAATTAAAAGCACAGAAAAATACTCCCAAAATGCTCGAAAGTAGTCAAAACGTCGTCTCGAGAATATTTTCGACTATTTCTGAATATTTCCCCTGTAGAGGGACAGGCCCGACGAAACAGTAGATGCAAGGGCCTTGGACGCCCATGCCGAAGCTCTTTCGAGCGGGGCGGGCCATCGAGAGTGGCCAGTGATGGGCCCAAGAGGCAAGGATGCAAGGGTACCCTTGTAGCGGCCTCCTAGATGGTGTCTGAATGGATGGGGTCGGAGGATCTCGCCGCATGGCCGATACATCGGCGATGCATCGCTAATGCATCGGCCATGCACTGGCGACGTCGGCGATACATCCGCGACGTCGGCGTGGAGAAACATTGGGCCCCGCATCGAGCCGCATCGCCGATGCATCGCCGATGCATCAGCGATGCGGCGCGATCCTCCGACCCCATCTACTCCGACCCCATCTAGGAGGCCTAGACCTTGGGAAGTCCCTCATCCTTGATGTCGGCTTCGACTGCATACGCTACCCTTCCACCCCTCGTCCGGGACCCCGACGCCGTGGCTTCCGCCCAGCCACTCACAGGAGACGCGACCGCCAGCGGGGCCCAGCAGCACACCACCCCCCGAGCGGGCGTGCGTCCCGAGCAGACACCCAGCCCAGCCCAGTCAACAAGACCCACCAAGGAAAGGCGCCTGACACCCTGCCCGACACCCATTCCGCCCACTCACGGTGGCGATTCACCCCATCCCCATTCACTCCCGCCCACTCCGCGTGGCGACGAGCCGACCCCAGCCCAGCCTGCCACAAGACCCACAGCTACCAAGTCCGTCGGGGCGCCACCAGCCGTCGGCGCGACACCTGAACCCCCCGGTGTGCGGAACACGGCAGCCGTGAAAGGCAGCGAGGGCGAATCCCGGACACGCCCATCGTGGGCTCCCTGTGCCCGACTGCAACGGGCAACCCGGGCATTCAGTGCGGCGACTACGTGGTCATCAGGTCATCAGGAGTGATACCCTCCCCCGCGCCAGGTGGTTCAGCACTGCGGACTGCACCGAGCCCCTATCGACAAAGCGCCTGGATGGAGCTGTATTCGGACCCGTCCTCGGTGTCTTGGCCCGCGAACAGGACGGGCGGACTCAACTCGTGCAGATCGGCAGCGAGTGGCTGGAAGTATGGGGCGTCGGTGACAGGACGCTACGCGTAAACGTCCTCCGCGGAGACGCAGCGCTCCGGGCAGCAACCTCTCTGGACAATGCCCACGGCAAGGTGCTCGGAACGCAGGCGCCAGCGCTCCGAGACAGCCCCATGCTCGGCATCGACACCGGGGGAGATAAAGCGACGTCCTCAGAGGGGAATGCAGGACGGATTCAAGCTCGAACCCTACTCGCCGCAGGCAGACACGCGGGATCCCACCATCGAACCTGCACCCCTCATGCCCCCTAAGGAGGAGGACCCCGACTGGACCAACGACGACCAGGCACAAAAGCAGAAGCTGCGCCTCGCCGAGGCCCAAAGCGCAGTCCATCCAGTCTCCTCATCCTCAGACTCGGACACAGTCGAAGAGCACCAAGCCAAGACGAGTCCTCGGAACGAGCGGCGCAGCAGTCCCGAGCACGACCCATGCAGTACCGACCAGAGGGCCGCCCACGCACCCGCAGAGCCGATCGTGCGTCCAGAGGCCGCGGCCGACGACGGGAAACTGCACGCGCGGAACCGGTCCAAAGGCCCGCGGAGGACCCACGACCTGCACTCACCCCCCTCCCTGCGCACCAGCTCGAACGCTCGCGCGGCAGGGTGCGGGAGCCAGTTGCCTGGGAGTCGTACGCGACGGCGGTGAGGTACGAATCCAGAGAGGCCGACCGGACCCGCACAGGAGAGCACGACCGCGACCGCGACCGCGACCGCAACCAGGGCGCAGCGGGGGCACCGTGGCGCGAACACGACGCTAGGGACTGGGCCAAAACCAAGGACCGCTACTGGGACCATAACCACGACACTGGCAGGGGCGCAGGGAGCGCACCCTGGCGTCAGCCAGAATTGCGCAACTCTTACCACAGAGACGATCGCCGCCACGCCGACACCAGCCGGACGCGGGCAACCTTCCGCGTTGGCTGGCAGCGCCTCCCACACGAGACAGCAGTCACACACCTGAAGTGGCTGCAAGCGGAAGGGGGATACCACTTCAACGCAGCCTGGCATTCGTGGTGCAGGCACATGTGCAAGGATCAGGGCAAAGGCAAATCCAAAGACCAGGCCCCCTTCGACCCGGGCCGCTGGCAACATTGGATCATCGACAAATTCCTAGATGACATGAGCACCAACAACCATCACGTGGAGGCGTGGTCCCGCAGCGCAGGCGTCTACGTGGACTGGGAGCGGGAGCCGAAGCTATACCAGGACGTACAGAGGAAAAGGGATGTCGCTAAGGGTGACGGGCGCGAAGGGGACCAGGCGCGCAGCTCCGGGTACCATGACACCTGGACTGGAAAGCGCCCGCGGCGCTAACCAGCCGTCGGCCTGACCCACCCTTGATCTACGGCAGCACGACGCAACCAACCCCTCGCTCCCACTACCTGCGCCCCGACCCCCACCCCGCCTCTCTCACCTGGCTGGGGACCGTGTGTCCTCCTCTGCCCCTCCACCTGCGCCCCACTGCCCCAGTGGCGCCCGTTGTCCACGGGCTACGGATACTTGCCATTCCACCTGGACCCCGTCTTTTCCTTCTCCTCCCCTCCCCTCTTCCGTATTCAAGGGTCTGGGACTCTGTGTCCCGCCTGTTCCCATCTGCGATGCGTCGCACGCCCTGCCTTTACATGCATTGGGACCTTGTGTCCTATCTGCACCCATGGGGGCTTGCCCCCCACGTGAGCACCTTCGGTGCAGGCTGACGCGACTTTGGCTGGCGCGGGATGCCGGCCTCTCTTCTCCCTGTTCGCTTCGCCCCCTCCCGCTCGCTACCTCCCCCCCCCTCCCATGGCGGCAGCGCCCGGCACAGCGCGGCCTCGGCCTGGTGCTGGGCACTGCGCCTTGCCGCCTCGGCGGTCCCGCTCGCCTTGGCGCTGCGCGGCTCAGGCCCGGCCCTCGGCCATGTGGACGTCAGCGCATCGTGTGTGGCACCCGCCCGTCTTCACGTGCTGACTGTGCAGGTCAGGTTCCCTCCGTGCACTCCACCGACATCCAGTCGGACACGGACGGCCCTGTCTCTGGCCGCACCTCTTGCTGGCTGCTCCCTGGACGTGGATTGGACTACCACCCCAGGCCGCTTCCGACCACCCGGTGGCACAACGCTGCACATCGCCTTCGTGGTCCTCCTTTTCCTCCGCACCATCCGGTGGCACAACGTTGCTCATCGCCTTCATGGTGGACTTCTCCCCCCTGGACGTCGACCTGGTCGCGTACAACGTCCTCCCATGCAGCACTTGAAGATGGTGTTTACGGAGCGCCGTTGACGGCAACACCACACCGCTCACCCTCCGGATCTTCGCCTCCGGCTCCTGTCCAAGGCGATCCTTTTCCTGTGCAAGCTCCTCGGCACCGCCTGCACCCCCGCCCTCCGGCCGCCTGAGGCCCCGCCCGCCTGTGCCCTGTCTCCCCAATTAGAGCTGTGCGTAGCCCGCCTAGCTTTTACCGGAAGAGGTTCGCTCTCGCCCCGCAGACCAAAACATGTATACACTACCCTTGTGGAAGGCCAGGGGGAGTTCGGTGCCGGTGTAAAGACACCCCTGCTGTCCAACCCGCGGGACGCTGGAGCGTCCATGCACCGACTCCCTTCGCCGAGCTCCTTGGCTTGTGGGCCTGGCCAGAGCGGCGTGGTGTGTCCGCCGAGCCCTCCGATTCCTCGCCGCCGCCGCCGCTGCCCCCTCGGCCACTTCGTTGCCAGCGGCGGCGTGGACCGTGGACCCCCGCCTCCCTTCCTCGGGAGCAATCTCGCGGCGGGAAGCCTTTTGCGATCTTCGGGCTCTCGGGGCAAGCGGCGGGCCCCGGGACCGTCAAGGCACAGCTCGGGAGGAGAAGCCAGTCCTGGGGCAAGGTTCGGGACCTCCTGGGGGCCCCGAGCCCCGAGATGCGAAGTCCTGATTGTTTTGGTTGGGGGGGTGCGGGGGGGCCCCAGGAGGTCCCGACCCTTTCCCTGGGGTTCAGTCGGGCATTTTGGGAGCATTTTTACCTAACAGCTTTTGCTGATAGGTTTCTAATGGTGTCAAAAGAAAGCAGCAAATTACTCCACAGGGGGGTCGGGGCGGGACCCGGGGAGCTGTGTCCGAACTCGTGTCCGAATGCGTTTTTCGCAAACAGTCACACACTTCGTGCTCTTCGACCTCCCAGAGCTCCATTCCCGGGCCACATTCTGAATGCTTGGAGCCAACTGTAGGCCACTTCCCAGAACTCCATTCCCGGGCCACATTTTGAATGCCCGGAGCCAACTGTAAGCCACTTCGTGCTCTTCAAGTTCCCAAAACTCCACTCCTGGGCATGATT